ACCATTAAGGATGTATTAACACAGTGTTTAAAAAAAAAAAAAGAAGCATGGAACAGACAAAAATAGATTAATAAGACAAAAAGTCAAAATGACAAGCAACAAAGAATGTGTTTAAACATGGGCAAGTTAACAATTGTATTTTTTTAAAAAGTGAGCCATCACTAAAGTTCTGTATAGGAGCTCTGGTGGCCTGGTGGTAAGAAGCTGCACTGCAATCCCAGAGGTATGCAGTTCAAATCCACCAGATGCTCTGCTGGAGGAGGAGGGGCAATCTCCTCCTGTACCAGTCAGATGTGATTTGACAGTACACACACACAAAAAAATTACTAAAGTTCTGTATAATCCAAATACTTTATAAGCATTGTCATAAAACCCCAATTTCCAAATCCTAAATAAAAAAATCTATAATTATTTAAAATATAAATTTCCTGTAATTTCAAAACTTGTTACAGAGGTAATAATACCAATAAATACCAACACACTTAAAATGACAGAACTTTTGGAATCTACCAGTGATACATCTAATAATTTTTTTGTTTCAGATAGTTTAAGAAACTTCATGCAATTAAAACTTGGTTTCAAGATAAGCCTTCTGTAAACCTTCAAATACAAAAAATTTACAATAAATTAAATCACAAATAGTACTCTGACTTTATATTTTAATGCCAGAATTGACCTGCTGTTTTCAAGATGGCTTAAGTGTATCATTACTAAAATCATGAATAGTTTCAAAAAACAACCATTACTTGTGTATTTTGTGCACTATAAGCAAAGCATGATGGGATTATATACTAATTTAAGAAAACCAACAATCTTAAGGATATCCAAGATTTTAAATTTATTTCAAATATGAGCATTATTATCTCTTTAAAACAAGTTATCTTTTCAAACTTGTTTTGGTGGTGGTTTTTTTTTTTTTGTGGGTTTGTTTTGTTTTGTTTTGTAAAACAAAGGAAAAAAGTTTATTAAAGCAGTAGGTGGCCATGAAAAACAGATAAAATATAAAGAAAGATGAGGGAAAGGGGGAAGGACACCTACCAAGACTGGGTCAAAGCAGATCTTACAGGGAGCCATCAGCAGAAAAGGACAGTAAGAAAGCTACTGCAATATTTTTTAAAAGGCTTTAAAAAATATCAGCCAAAATACAAACCATAAACTTCACCAATTCAAAGCTAGACTAGCAGAATTCTAAGTAAACCACAAATTATACCTTATTGAGATTCAAAGAGATAAAAAGGTTATCTCACTTTTTATCATCTCACAAAAAAATACTACCACTCCCTCAACAATAAAAACATTTAAAATTATACATGTTTAAAGAGTTATTCTCAATGTTGGTTTAGGAATTTTAAAAAATAAGTAAAATTTACTGACACGTGAAAACATCTTCACATAGTTAAGTCTCTGTAAAAAAAAAAATTTAAAAAAAAAACCCCTTGTTCTATTAAGGTTTTGTTGCTCTAAGGCCAAGTATCAGCCATAAAAGGAAACTGAAGTTCATAGCCATCTATTTTTTCACTCTTTCAAATGCCCAAGAGTAACCTCTTTCCTTGACTAATAAAAAGTTCCAAAACTATAAAGTAGATCAGCAACGCATTTTAAATTCCTTGATAAAGTTTGATAAAGAATTACTTGGGGGTGAGGGAGAAGTAGAAGTCCAGTAACTAGCTTATAGGAATGGGAGAGGGTGTCAAAATAATATGTACTATAATACTGTTAAAAGGTTCTTATAACTTCTTCTAACTAAATAAAGTCAACTTTTTTTTTTCATTAATTACTCGAGGGCTCCCGGTCTCCTGGGTAAGCTAAATATCAATTTGTATCTAAATACACCTACCAACTAATACTACTATTTATTCAATATTTACTCAAGAGCACAGTATTATCATCTTCGATTCTCTTTACCACAGACACGCCAAGGAAAGCTAAACAAGAAAACATTTAAAAAAAAAATACAAGAAAACACAAACTAACGCGAAAACACCACTGAAAAAACAATTAGGGTTTGCGGCAACCCAAACTAGTTTGCTGTAAGGCGAGCGCGGATTGGCTGAGAAGAGCTCGCGCTGCGCCCGGCAGAATGTCGGCCCGCGTCCCCCGTCCGGCCCCTCGCTCGATACGTGGTGCTTCCCAAGCACAAGCTGCGGAAAACATCTGCGCCCGCACCAAGTGCCGAGCCTGCACTCATCGAAAGGCACGGCTTGGGGATTCTGGGTTTTATTTTAAAAAACTAAATAAACACAACACACACAGAGACACACACACACACAAAACCCAAAAACCACAAACCAAAACAACAACACGGTTCCCATGAAGATCAGCAAGGACGTTTTACTTCCCTTTTCTACACATATGGTTCTGAACGGCTGAGCAGTCCCAGCAAAGAGATGGGACAGGTTACTGGTGAGCTTTAAAAAACTCAACTGAGAAAAGGAGACCTCTCTTCCTAGAGACACCGGAGGTGCCGCCAACAGTGCATTCCGACTGGGAGCGACCCCCGGCCCGGGCCCCGCGGTGTGCAGGGCGGCGCGGGTCAGGGCGCCCGAGGCCACAGCGTCCTGCCGCGGGGCGGCCGGGGGTCGCGGAGCCAGCGCGCGCCCCGCCGGCCTGCCTTCCTCCCTCCGGGGCCACTCACGCCGGGAGACGCCGACAGACACTTGTTTGCCATCAACCAAGGCGCTCAGCAGCGGAAAAGAAGGAGCTGCTCCACTCCGCAGCCACAATGACCCGACCCGGGAGCGCGGCCCGAGCGAAGGCGCTAAGAAAGGCAACTTTGTTTCTCTTTCTGAACATCCAGCAAAGCCTCTCCCTACAGGGCTCCGACGACCTCTGCGCCGACGTCCTCGCGAGCAGCATAAACCAAGCGGCAGCCATCTCCAAGCGCACCCCACTCGCGGCGGCCACCCCACTTCCCGCCCGGGGTCGCCGGGCTCCGCGACTCGAGCAAGAAAGACGCACACAGTGTCCGAGCGTCCAGGAAACACGGGCCGAAGCCTCGGGACCTCGTGCGGGACAAAGGCACGCTTTCTCGCGAGGGCACCAACTTTCCGTCCCGCCGCATTCTTGAAAAGCCTCTTAAAAGAAACCGGGCCCCCCGAGGGTGACATTTCGGGGAGAGGGGAGGGAGAAAGCGCCGGCTCAGTCGCGTCCACGCTGGAAGCCCGAAGGGAATGCGGGGTTCCCCGGCCCACCAAGTTGGCGCCCTCGGGACTCTCTGCGGGAAAATTACCTTTCGGTCGGGCAGTAGCTCAGCGCAGCTTTTTCAGGGCTTCGCCGGACATGGTTTCCTTTCCTTCCTGAGTCACTTTGGATGCCGCC